GAGACGTCCTCTCTGGGGGTGTGAGATGCCCTGTCTGGGGGTGTGAGATGCCCTCTCTGGGGGTGTGAGATGCCCTCTCTGGGTGTGCGAGACGTGGGATCGTTTTTATAGAAGGTAAATCATCGAAGCGCAAATTTAGGCACGGGACAGGTAAGTTACAACTTACTTTGTACAACTACTTTGTTAAAACAATTAATACATTGGTTTAACGATTGCAAACCAAAGGGGTGCAAGGCTGCAGTAAAGAGCCACTGGTCTGAGAACATGTGCTATGACGAAGGGGTCACTACCCGAAACGTCAATTGTCTTAACCAAAAATAAGTATAACCCGTAAAAACAAAGTTTTTCACTCTAAATCCTTTATATGCGTGGCGGCTAGAGTCCTCTCGTCCTCTGGTTTGAGATGGCTGCCACCTATGGGTCAGATGATTGTCTGCAGTATTAAACAATTGGTAATTAAATATTTAATTTGTTTTCCCTAAACAGTGTAAAATTTTGGAATTTTTTTTCACGAACATTAATCGTCTCGCACAACGAGTCTGTGTGCAAAATGTCAGCTCGATTGGATCACGGGAAGTGGGTTAAAAACGACCGAAAGGTTTGCACGGTCGTAAGCAAGCAAGCAAGCACGCAAGCAAGCAAGCAAGCGAACTTAATATAAAGGATTTAAAAAGAGTGTCTGTACGTCTGGATCCCGAACAACATTCCACTGGAAACTCAGACAAGAACTCTGGGACTCGCACCACAGACACGCCGGGATATCTGCCCTTCCGCCTTGCCACGGGGGCATCGCATCAAAGCGCCGGCTTCTCTTCCTCCTGAGTTCGGCGGCTTCGGGCACTGGCCCAGTTTGGGCAATGCGGTTGAGGCGACCCGACTACCCCCCACCCCCCCCGAGTCGTATTCCACACGCGATGTCTGTGGAAGGGATTCGACTCGAGGCGGGGGAAACACGTGGCCCGCTTCGAGACGGGCGTGGCGCTCGTCACGTTGTGGGTGGAGGGTTGGCGGATCGTGGAAAGATCATCGCGCGCTGCCAGACGCCAAAGCCGTCTCTGGGCTGGGAGGTGGTTGGGAGATGGAGCAGTGGGAAGGGTTTATTGTTGAACGGTCATGCCCCATGACTGATTACTTGAGGTTTTAGAAAGTTAAATTTCGATTTAAAGCTTTCGTGACTGCAGGGATTCATCTTCTTGGTTCTTTCGGTAAAGTCACAATAAAATAATACAAATAAAACATAATAAAATAAAATAATTCTCACGACGTTTCGGCTACCAAGAAGATTCTAGAAAGTTATTTAACGTAAATCCCATAAGAGGTATTTTCAAAGCATTGAGATCTAATTATTTGGAAGGTTATACACGTTAAGTTACATTTATAATGGAAGCTATTTAATGGACAAAAACTTTGATGATGCTAGGATTGCCGGCTTTGTGGTGTGATAATTAATCCAAGCTGGTGATGCAATTTCTCCCCGCCCCTTTATTTTTAAATTAATTTCTATATCTTCTTTAAAATGAGAGTAATCATAAAGAGTACTCAACTTGTACATGCTAAGCAGTGAAACTACAATTAAGACAGTGCCACCAAAATAAAGCCAGATTACTGCTTTCTGCCTTTGAGGAAATCTAAAGTAATATCTCACTCGAAACATGCTATTTCCCAGTAATTAATAATTTCCCGCACCTCCGATTAGCACGATTTGCTACGTGCGGTGCGAAAGAAGTCCAACATACGTGCGTAGAGTAATTGCGTGCGATGCTGAACTGTCAGTACAGATTTTTGAGTGTCAGCCCCTCGTACAAAGGGGTTTTTTTCCCTGACATTTTCCATCAAATTATCAATCCATGCCCTCTGTTGCCAAAGATCCATTGAATACCCCGTGGCATAATTGTAAAAAAAATAACATTGTGTGCGTTTGTGAAGGCCACGTGTTTTTAATTTAAAGTCTGTGAGCAAACATTGTGATTTGTAAGAAAAAAAGGTAAGTACATTTTCATTTATTACTTACGACAAAAATGATTAATCTCAGTGGGGTTTCATGCAGCTTCAATATAAACGACGACAATATGAAATGTATGCTGAGCTTCTATTGCACCGTACGTAGTCAACCGCGCTGATCGAAGGCGCGGTGGGGGTGAAAGGACAAAATAAACACACAAACAAAACCCCAGTTCCAAATCAATGAATTTTCAACTTAGCAGAGTAAAAGGGTCTCCATTGAACTGCTTTCTGAAGCAGTTTAACGGGGTCTTACTTAACGCAGTAGACCATCGCCATCATCTCATTTGTGTTCCCAACAAAAGCGCAAGTGCGGAACATTGGTCAGATTGCTTCCGCTGTACAGTGCAACTCTACTGGTTATTGTGGCCGGCACCAAAGCCTCCAGAACCACATAAGAGAGCGGGGGCGTTGCCAAAGTAAATGAAAAATATTTTCGGCGTTTTAATTTTGTTTGATATATCCCAAATGCGCCCTCCCACGCGGAGACTGACTGTCTGTGTGTGTGTGTGGCTTTGGTATCACGTTGAGAGTGCGTGAGCCATCGTTCCACAAATGCTATACATTTTTCAAGGCGCATTAAACGATGTCTCTCTCTTTCTCTGTGTGTACACACAGCATATTTATCATACACAAACGAGTTAACACTCATGCTGTCTCACTGCAAACAAAAACATGCATTGCCAGTCATGGGAAAATGATCTTGGTTGATTAACCGTGGAGCTTAGGAAATTAGATGTTTTAGTTTTCAATGAAAATGCGTGGAGTTTATTACCAACTTCAAAGATGACAACAAATCACTGCGGGGCCTTTGAGCAGCACGGCTTTAATTCATTTATTCGGGGGAACACATGTATTCTTCCTAATGACTTCGTTTCCATTGGAGCTGACATCGCCCTGCGTTGGAGTCGAGGTAGAGGATACACTTTAAACAGACCCCGTTGACAGTAGGCACGCATCGGTGGCTAGGAGATGTTAACTACCTCGCCTGGTATGCAGGAGGTCGTGAGTTCGATCCCGACCCTGACGCCTGCTGCTGTATATTTGGAGTTTGCGGCGTCTCTCCCCGTGATCACGTGGATCCTTCTCCGGGTCCTCCGGTTTTTCCCTCCACATATCGAAACAACGTCACGCGTTTAGAGGATGCGGCTCTAAACGCGTGATGTTAACATTTGTGTGGCCCGTTCGCTTCTGAAAAATAGCTAGGTAGCTCAGCGGGCCCTACCTGGCAAATAAAAAGTTGAGTTTCGACGTCGGTCACTTCACGTAATCGCCAGCACGATCGTCACGCTTCTTGCATCGTCACACCAAAGTGCCAACGGCGTCTGCTGTGCTGACACCTGTCAACATCGAGAGTTACACGCCGGTCATGATCATCCGGTACAGGTGATATCTCTAGCACAGTTGCGCGAAACCTGCAGTGGCCATAAAACTCACGACTCATCCGTCAGTCTGAATCGTTGTCTACTCTCCCCTGCTGCTGTCGGGGGGGGGGGGGTCTTCTTGGTATGCCGCTCCGAGGCTTCTCAGCGATGTGCACTTCGTCAAGAGGCGAATCGCTTGACCAAGCTTTGTAACATTGCTGCTTGCGCATGTGTCGCTGTGCACAGCACACGCTCTGCCATGAACGTTGGCGGCCCAAGCGTCTCCTTTCTCTCGACATACGATCACAGCTTCGAGCTTGAGAGACGCGTCCGCTTGGGCCATCTTGTTCACAACTGCAGCGTCCCCGTGTGACTTTCAGCGATGTTCCGTGGCAATGTTCTCCGCCAAATAATGAAGTTATTTGTACACGCACGTACAGTGCGACTTTTAGACGGCAAAAAAAATCATAATTGTGATCACAAGATCAGTTTTCCCATCATGCCTTGCATGTCACGTAATATCAACATACCTATTTTTTTCCCCATATTGGATTGTCAATATAATGGCCATACGATTGCACTGGACTCATGATTCCCAACGCACTCTTGACCCTTTTTGAGTCGGTGGTCTAAATCAACGGCGAGTGCATTACACACACTGTATGTTCAGAATCAGAATGTATCTATACTGGAGGAATCCGATGAGCTATGAAGCTCTTTATCTAAATATGTCCAGTCATATGTTGAGATCACGTGACACATTGGTCACGATGGGAGGACCAATCCCCTGGCCCCAATAGCCACCCTTGCAGTCTGTAGAAATTACCTTTTACGTTCATAATTGATCTTGTTTATTTCCAAGCTGCACACACGTTTTGGTAGGACGAGTTTCTCATCATCTAAAGAAAGTGGGGAGGCCTTCATCCAGCTGTGCATAGAGCATGGCTGACAATGAATGATGGTTACATAATGGCCCGGTCTTACAAACACACTCTCATCACTGCTCATTCACAATATAAATAGAATCACGCTCGACAACCGCTTGGAAATGTAAAAGTTCACACACATGTGTGGTATTAAAGAGAACAGAAAAATGTGTTCTCTTGCCACTGTCTGTCCATGATGCACGGTCCAGGATATTACGTCCAAACTGTGGTTTAGAACAAACATGTTCTACTGCTACAGAGAGTGGAAAAATGCACAAGGCACGAATGCGCAGTGCTATACTTACAACACAAATATAACAAGAGTGTATTAGTCTTTAGTTTGCTTCCTCACATTATAACGTGCCCTGGACTGCCTCCAGATGAAGACATTTCAAAGTCTGCATTTATGTGATCGACAGGCTCATTCCATACTCCTATGGTGTGGGCCAGTACCTCCAATTGACATCAACCGTATATTTAGGGAATCATCATGATTATAATCATCCACGATCTACATAAATGTGGTTGAAGGCCTCCGAGAGGTGTTATCATCTCTCGTGGTCCTGGGGGGTGATGGGGAAGGGGTGGTACGTTGAAATTATTTCGCACCGTACGTAGCCAACCGTGCTAATCGGAGGTGCGGGGAGGGGGGAAGGACAATAAACTAAACACACAGAGTGGATGAATCCGATGAGCCACGAAGCGATTTCACACAATCAAACTTTATTTCTATAGCACTATTCGTGCAAAAAAATGCAATACATCGTGTTTTACAGGCATGAACGATACAAGTGAAATTGTACCCAAAATAAAATCACGTACCAAATTCCAAAGACATAATAAAAATAACACATTAAGAATATCCTAATTAAAAGCCAGTTTAAAAAAGCCAGATTTTAGACTTATTTTAAAAGTGCTTAATGATTCTGAAACCCTCACATGTCCAGCGTCGACCTGGCTGGCTTCTGGCGAGGTCACAACTACACGCGGTCAAGGGTCGGGGCTGAACTACGTTCATCCAGATCGGGTTTTCAAAATAACAGGGGGAAACTTTGCTAGACCGGACAGCAGCCTCCTACGCAAGTCTGGCCCACCGGCCTCTAAGTGAACATTACGGAACATTTTTTTTATTTTATTTTGCCAGGTAAGGCCCAATGAGCTATGTAGCTCTTTTTTTCATAAGCGACCTGGCCACAAATGATAGCTCAACGAAGTTGCTTATCGTGTGGACATTTACTGCAGCCAAATGCTCTAAACGCATGTTTCTAAATGTGGAGGGAAAACCCGGAGCACCCCGAGTATAATCCACGCGACCACGGGGAGAGAGAACACGCAAACTCCAAATATACAGGCGTCATCAGAGTCGGGATTGAACCCAGGACCTCCTGCATACCAGGCGAAGGAGTTCACATCTCACCACCGTGGCGCCCCAAGACTCTGAAAGATGTTGAGAGTCCTGCCAAGACGAGCGACTGCTGCCACCGAACTGCTTCTGTTCGATGGGGAAGCCAACAGGAAGCTGCTCGATGGGTGGTAATATGGCATTTCCAACACTCGAAATGCTCACTTGAGCAACAAAAACACCACTTTGACTTGACCATCCCAAAAAGTCTGCCTTGCAGACGAGACTTGCTGCCTCAATGAGTTCCCACCTGCTTGTAATACGAAGTTCAAACATACAATCAAGGTACCCGACCTGTAAACGCTTGCCTCGTATTTTCACGACAGCTGTTGTTAGTATCTGTCAGGTGACTCAAAAGTGTCAGGCAATTGTCCCTAAACCAGAAATACCTCACTGCCATCACTTGACGCATGAATGGACGTTTTCCCACAACCCGCAGGTTCAGAGACTTTGTCTGACGATGTGGGCGATTGTCACAGAGATCCAATTATTGGTGTCTCTTGGATGCAAATGGATAAGTTAAAAAAAATGAAGATACTCAACAGCTCATAAGACACCCAACAGGAATGCAAAGTTTGACAGATTAAGTCAGTGTGTCTTAAGTATTATTGTATGAACTTCTTTCGCTCTGTATGTAGCCAACCGTGCAAATCGGAGGTGTGGGGGGAGGACAAGGTCTTATGCATACGAGTCACAGAACACATCGCTTAGGAATACAATAAGTCAATTGGCCTGTGGACTTTCTGTAAGGGGGCAAAATCGACGTACAAACATGCGCTTTCAAACACCGGGAAGGCACGACTCCCTCGTGCTTTGCATGCCACCTGATCACCACATTGCATGTTCAATGATCCCAGCCTTGTTCAGACCACCAGTTCCAAAAGAGCTAAACATGCGGCCATAAGATTTTTAAGAGATAGTAATGTGGACGTTCCATCAGGGAATCCTGGACCAATGCTTTCTTTCCAGCACTGTTTCTATACGGCAACTCTTTTGCCGTATAAAACATAGTGCATAATGTTAATATCATTAATTGTAAGTTGTGATGGGGAACATTTTTTTCCTTTTACTAAAACACTTGCTACCGAGAGCAAACAGAAGCAGGAGCCACCTCAGGGAGTGAAGGAGTCTTCCACGTTTCCACTGCTGGATTATAGAACACAGCCTCTGTGCAGTCTTCGTACGGTTTTCTGAGGTTTCTGGCTAAGTGCAACGGTATATACCAGGGGTCGGCAACCAAAATAACAAGAAGAGCCATTTCTTTCCAATTCAGTACAAAATTCAGTATTTCAAGAGCCGCAATGCATCTGAGTACATACTGTACATACGTACATATCGTCAAGAAGCAGCCCGTAAAGAGCCGCATGCGGCTCCGGAGCCGTAGGTTGCCGACCCCTGGTATATACATACTCTAATCTCTTCCGAGACTTTTTGCCAGCGTGGAAGAGTAATGCCAACATACCCACGAACAGAGCGAGTTCTCTTTTTGTGGAGGTCCTTCTGCCAGCAGTGGCATGGCCAAGTACACGTGCCGCTCCATCGTTGCAGATATACCTACCATATAATGACCCAAACTCACAGAGACGGTGCATATGCTGTTCACTTAATCAAGTCACCCACTTTGTGGGAGGTCGAAGGGACAGTGTGTTTCTCCTACAACGCGTGTTTTCATGACGCAAATTGAATATAATGCCACGAGTGCATTAGGGAGCACATTTTTCATAACGCGGATGCCAATTGGATAGAACGCGATTGAGTGAACAGAACGATGTCGCGCGAGTAGAAATAGGCGGTCGTATGGCTGCCTTGGCTTAGCATCGCACAAGGCGGGATGCTGCTGGATGCTTCTAGATGCTACCCACGCGCCCCAGTCTTTGTTTAGCCTGCATACGCATCTCACGTGTTATCGCCGACTGTGCTTTACCCTACATTATTTATTATAACGCGATTTTTCCATAACGCGGTGTTCTTCAGGAACGCAACTACCACGTGAAAGAACAGACTGCAGTGGTCTTTTGCTAAGACTCGCCCCTCGTCATCGTCACGTGAACTCTCCACCACTTGCTCGGGGTCACCTGTGGTAGAGAACACTGCCTGTTCAGCAGGAGACACTGTGAATGTATTTGGCCAGATGTCGTGGATGCATGCCAGGTGGGGGGTTGGTGGATCATACAAAGATGGTGTCACCATGTATGTAAGATGCTTGGACTGCCCACAAGCGGCAGTGCAAGTAGGTTGCTAGCTTACCTTTGCAAACAATTTTCCCTTTTCTATGCGGGTTTCTCTGTGCCCTCTAGTTCCTACACCCACTAAACAAACGAATAAGGAAATGATCAAACATCAGAAGGACACTCTTATAAAATTAGTACGCAGAGCGAGGTTTTCAAACGTGAATAATTATTACTTAACATAAGTGTTACATGCCCAGCAATGATATGTATCATCAAAAGGACACAAGTGTAATGATTAAAAAAATCGAGCACAGCGATATCGTGGATGTTCAAAAATCTGTCACTATATTAAAAGTGATGAAATGAAAGCGTGCCCTTTTGAAATTAAAATTTTCACAGCCCAAAGCGCTCCAGTGTTGGTTTCGTCATTTTTACTTCAATGACATGATTGGAAATGATCAGCTGTTACATTCCGTCACGGATTAAGGGACGCCTCTCAGTGGGAATATTACTCGGTTGACAGGTGACACCCATGCGACAACGCACACCTACAAAGATCCCCCGTGTAGCCTTAACAGACTGCCGGGGTAAGTGCTGTTAGCCAGCACTTATGAAGGCCGGAACGGCACACGAGGAGGTGGGTGGCCAGCACCACGGCCACACCTCCACTAAGATCCCTGATTAAGCCTTATTGACTGTAGGTACAAGCATTATAGGGAGGTGACAATGCCCATCAGGAGCGCGTTTGCCGCTGTTGCAGAGGTTCGCGGTTCGAATCCAATGGCCGCCCCTGGTTAATACTGCGGTGGGTTTGAACCATACAAATACTACGGTCCGTCTGCTTCGCTCACAGTGGATTTAAAGATGCCATGACGTAATTCGCAAGAGAAATCCATTGTGTGCTACCGGCACCACGATACAAGTTTGATAAATTACACCACAAAATCACTCAATTGGGATTAGACATGGCAAACATCGGCCTCTGCTGTAAAACAAAAAATTAGCAGGACCCTTATAAAAATAATCCCGAGACTCGATGAGACTTTCCTGAGTCAACATACATATTAATAAGCCGAGAGGGCACTTACAGGTGGCACGACATAGTTAGGTGGCCAGCACCACGCGTGTCTGGCCACCTGTCTCCCCAGTGCTGCCATTTATATGTTGCACCACAAACTCGTTTAGGGCTGATTCAACCAACGGGAGCGAGGTCGTGATAGAGTGAATTAACCCTTATATATACATATTCGCTTGGTCTGCTTTCATGATTATATTTTGCTTATATACAATTTGAAGAATCCATTTGGAAATCCCACGGTCTGCCCTTTCGTCAGAATAGCTGTGGAAAAGATCAAAGGATTTATCTTTAAAAAAAACTTTCAAGTGGCCTTTTTAATCCTTTACACAGCAGGGAGAACATGGCCATGTGACCTTTAAACCAATATTTAAATTTCATGATTATTCTATTACAGTCCACAATGAATTGCTAATGCACTTTTGCCATAAAATACATTACAGGTTGGAATATACTTTTACTGAGCGAGCAATAGGGCTCCAAGGTTTTAAACTTAAGGGTTAAAATCCTGGCCATAATGCATAAGACAATGCAAAAGAGCATTACTATTACTCGGGTTCAAATCCAGTCGCCATCATTCTCATCGTCATCCCTCTGGGAGATTTAAATGAGCGCTACTAGCAGAGACAACGCTTTTTTCCACATCACCTGGAATGCAAACGAGCGTATCAGATCTCGGAAGCTAAGCAGGTTCCAATTTGGACAGAGCTTGGATGGACAATCACCATGCACAGCAGGTTGTCATAGGCTGCTTGGGGGTGACGTAGTGGGTGGCAAGCAGTGCAGATAAACACATTGTTGCTATGTACTTTCTATGCTCACACATCCATACATCTATGCTCCCCCCCGCCTTCATAAACCTACATTGACCAGCATGGTGAAGTATGGCTAAACAATTCCCATGATCCTCATGGCATGGGGAGGAGGCCCTCGCCCAGCAGTGAAATGACGAAGTGTTGTACATGTACACACACACACGTGTTGAGACAACATCGCATGGTGGAAATTGTGCTAATAATCCTGTGGATAAATTGGTCCCCTCGCTACAAGAATGTGGAATTTCCTCCAGTCGCTCAGGACAACCGATTGAGGGGTGAGCACATTATGCTCAAAAAGATAACGTGTAAAAAAGTTAACGGCGAATAGTGTTGCGTTAACCTTCATCAAGTTGCATGGCGATCATTCCATTGTGTAGATCTGTGGTTAAGAGTGCATGACTCACGACCTGAGGTCTGCAAGTAAAAAAAACTACATTAACCGCCCCCCCTATCCCTTTCACATGCGTGGGTTTCTCTTGAGGCACTCTGGTTATATCTCCCCACATGAAGCCAAACGCCCATCAACGGAATGTACCAAACATCACAAAGCAGGACCCGACGAAAGAAATGTCCTTTGGACTCGGTGGGAGCTTCCATGGGTAACGAAAGGACAACGTTATTATTTCATGGAGGACGTTGGTGATGTTAATGATGGGCCCAAGTAAGACCGACCCGTGTTTGAACTTGCACCCTTTTGATTGCGAGTCGTGCGCTCCAACCACAACACCACCAGGCCAATAACACGACACAGAAAGGCGGCAATCGCGCACCCGGACCACAACCAAAGTGTGGGAAGACCAACTCAATGCGCAATTAACGACGCGAGATAACTTGTGGCAAATAACCAGTCATTCCCCTCCGCCAGAAGTGTCGCATTACACGGTTCAGGGTGGGTGCCCTTTGCAGACGCCCGGCAGTTGTAAAACACGGTGCTTGTCTTCACCTCCCACAACACTTCCATTATCGCGGGTATCGCATTTCACACATTACCTGGGAGGGAGGGAAGGGAGCAAGGTGTGGCGGCGTGGGATGGAATGGGATGGGACAGCACGAGCCTTTGGGGGGGTGGGGGCTACGAGGACAATTCTTCGGCCGCCACTCGTTTACTGCGGAGTGCGACAGGCTCAGAAGAGACGCTCGCCGCTCAATGGGGAGAATCCACGCGGGGTTCCTTTCCAGGCCAGCTGCGCGCTCAGAACGGTCAGCCTGGAGCGGTGAACATGGCGGCGGTGCTGGTGGTGGCGACATGAGACTGCAATTCAGGAATTTTTAGGCGGACCTGGTGAACCTTGCAAAAACAGTCACACGCAAGAGCGATAGCAGTGAAGAGGCTGTGGTGGGTTAGAAGGGGGCAGGTTATCGACACAGGCATTGGAGTGGAACCCAGAGGTCGGTAACCAAGGGTGATGATGATGATGAATGCAGGTGCAGTGGGGTGACCAGCAGATGGCAGTGCAAGAACGATGTTGCAGACCCATATGTATTGATTACACGGTGGTGACATCACCCCTTGTATGTGTGGGTTTTCACTGGGTAATTATGCCTACCTTCAAATGCAATTAATGCTCCATGAGAAAAATGCCAAACATTAAAATTCAGGACCCTGTTGAAAAATACTTGAGACTTAAACGAGACTTCCCTGGATAAACAACTGTTGTTATTCGCATTTCTATCATCTTAGCCCATCATCCTTCCGGGAAAGATTAAATGAGCATCACTTCATGGAAGGTAAAGAGTTTGCTATGTGGAGTAGAGGAGGTTGACTCCTGGTGAGGGAATGTGGACTCTCCACCACTGGCTCAAAGCTGTCAATGGGAGAGCAGCGCTTGTTTCAAAAAATATTTTGTGCAGGGAGACTATAACCGTGCCTGGGATTTATAGCCCACACCTCACAGGTGCCGGCCCATTGCTCTGACGTTGTCGTTATGAGCCTTCGTGAGTCCCCCTGGAAACAAAGGAACAAGTATAACCCGTAAAAACGAAATTTTTCACTATAGATCCTTTATATGCGTGGCGACAAGAGTCCTCTCGTCCTCTGGCTTGAGATGGCTGCCACCTATGGGTCAGATGATTGCATTGCACCATTAAGCAATTGGTAATTAGAATATTTTTGTCCTAAAAAGTGTCACATTTTGGAAAAATTTTTTCACGAACATTAATTGTCACGCACAACGAGTCTGTGTGGAAAATGTCAGCTCGATTGGATCACGGGAAGTGGGTTAAAAAAAGACCGAAAGATTTGCACGGTCGTAAGCAAGCAAGCGAACTTAATATAAAGGATTTAAAAAAATACTTATGGGTTTTTGGGTACATGGAGCATAATAGAAATGTAATAGTAGCATAAGGTAAGCAGCTACTTGGAAGCGCGGATGACATCAGGGGTGCGTTCAATGGGCAGAGAGGGCTCTGTCGTGGAGCCACGAGGCGAACGTTAGCTCTTCGCGAACGGCGCGTTTGCTAGGATGTATGTACGTTCAACTTCACCGCACGTAGTCAATTGTGCTAATCGGAGGTGCGGGGGGCGGGGTGGGACAACAAACTAAACACAAAGAGCAGTTCTAACAGCAAATCGAGACGATTTAAAAGGATGCCGAGTCCCTCGCAACGGCGGGTGACATCACGCACCAGCTCAGCCAATGGGGCACGCGCGCGTCACGTCCATAAACCGGGAGTTCGCAGGAAGATAGGGCGCTTCATCCGATTGGCTTGACTTTGAACCGAGCCACCTATCGCTCGGCGAGGCGGCCCGTCGGACCGTTGGCTCCTGCTGTGCCGCACTCTGAGCCGACAAAGAAGAGTGTTCTGGAGTGCTCTGCCCCAGTTGAACGCAGCCCTGGACTGGTGATGACGTCACCACGGCGCTTGTGCCAGGCTATGTGCACGTTGAGGCCACGTGAAGTGTCGAATGCCCGGTGGCAGGAGGTCACGGGGCAGACCCAGGTGCCACGGATCGACTGAGACGACTGGCCGATGCACCACCTGTGCCCCCTACTGGACTCCTGCACTGTAAACACAAAGAGAAATCGATGGGCTGTCATCGTCGACTACGATCGGAGACAACCATCCAATGCGATGCAGCAGGTAAGCACTGCTGATAATTAGACAGGGGAGGCCGTGGTGAGTGTGACGTGTGTGCGTGAGAAAAGAGTGCAGGTTAATGAGACAGGCAGTGGAGTGGCAACCACAGGTCAGTGCCCAAGGGGAAGAGAAAAGCCAGATGGTGGCAGTAATGAAACTCTCAGAGCAGAGCTTTGGAGGTCGGGTGTCACCGGTACAACTGTGGAACCTGGCAGAAGGAAGTAGTGGCACCCATTGTAACGGTCTCTTTTGATTGTCTTTCAGGCAGTCTGTGCAACGAAAGAGATTTCAAGCACACACACACACTGAGCCGAGCTCATTCTTCTTTTCACCCTTCCTTTGCCACCAATCCATGCCCCGGCCGCCATCTCAGGCAACTAGGCCACCAGCGGGAAGTTCCACCGACTCCACGTATGGATTCCGCGCGAGAAGCACCACGGCGGGACGCAGCTCCACGGCGAACGGCGGAAATCGGCGGCGATCGAACGAGACCCCGACGAAGCCGCGCACGACATGCAGGATGCGGTGGGTCCTGGAGAAGGGGCCTTCCTTCAGCCCCGCCAGGGCCACCTCGGCCGACCGCAGCAGATGTGTGTACGCAAGGGATCCGTCCACATCGCTCGGGTCCAGGTCTTCCCGCTTGTCATACCTGCGGCAGGCAAAGCGCCGTTCGGCAGCACGCTATAGTCAAGGAGGCCGGGTACGTGCGCCGTTCTCATCGCGACGAGGCTATCACCAAGGCGCCACGGTTCTCCGAATGTTTTGCGGGTAATTTGGCAAAATTTGAGAGTGACATCGGCACCCTAATAAAGTCACGGCATCCGCCGTCTGCTTCACGGCAAATGCATGTTTTACGGCTGATACACGTGCGCAGGATTAACTGTGTGAGTATATTTTGTTTATGTGGGTGTATGTATTTTTGTGTTTGTGTACGAGTTTGCATGTGCATTGTGTACGTTTGTCCCCGTGTGCGTGAGTAATTTCACCCAGCCATGGCTAACATGCGTTGAGGGGTCTTAGACCTCCTCTAAATGTACTCAGCCGTAAAATAATACCTGGTGCAGTGTGTAAAAACATCAGCAGTGGGAAAACAAAGGCGGTTTGGAGTACAAGCCACACCACACCCTAGTGTGGTATGGCTTGTACTCACTAACAGCAAATGCCCCCAACAGTCTGTCAAAGGCTACATGGGGGATCTTTGTGTGTCGGTGATAACCATACCTCCAGTGATCATGAATTTGCGTAAACCTTGAAACGCCAGTCTGTACTGCTGCTACATCCATGTGAATGGAGACATCTGGTGGAAGGAGAGACAAAGTGCATCATCATCAAGAACAATTATCCTGAACTGAGAAGCAATGTAAATAACCATCACAAACCGCATTAACCACCACAATCACCCCTCAACCCTATCACCACCACGACCATCCCTCACCACACAACTGCTACACCTTACCACCATCACCACTCAACTCTAAACACCACCCCTCACAACAACCACCAATCCCTCACCACCACAAGTCACCACTTCCACCACAAGTCACCACTACCACCACACCTCACAACCATCATCCGTTACCACCACAATGGCACCACCAACTCCATCTCCACCATCCCTCACTAGCACCGCCATCCTTCAACTCTCGCCACTAACTGCAACATCGCGATCGGCACGCACAAAGCACATCCCATCAGCACTGTTGGTTACGTACGGTGCGAATGAAGTTCAACATACATATAAAGCCTTAACAGACTCTTTTGGCAAGTACTGCTAACGAGCACGTATGAAAGCCGGCATAGCACACGAAGAGGTGGTTGACCAGCACCACACCCAGCCACCTTTGTCTCCACAGTGGCGATGTTTACACACCACACCAGGTACTCATTTGAAGCCGAGTCGACCTAGAGGAGGCCCAGGACCAGTTCAGATAATCGTCACTGGTGTTTGCCACGAGCAGGAATCGAACTCGGGTCACCCGGTTCGTAGTGCGGTGCATTAACCATTACATGACCGCTCCCCACTCACACAAAGATCCCCTGTATAGCCTTAACAGACTTGGGGCAGTGCTGTTAGTGGTCACCTGTGAAGGCTCGCACTATACACAGAGCGGTGGGGTGGCCAGCAACACGCCCAACCGCCTTTATCTCCCCAGTGGCAATGTTTACGCACTGCACTAGGTACTCACGAAAAAACACACACACCCACGTCCCCTCCGTGCTCCGTCCCCCCTCCCCCCGCGTTCCCCTTACTCTGAGACGGTGGCACCAGCTCGTGCAGCCGTGTTATGGCGTCTCCGCCGGGGTAGTTGTGGGACGACGCGTACAGGAGGCACGCGCTGTACGCGCCGTTCAGCGCCAGGTGCCCGCACACGGCCAGCGCCGCCAGCTTGCGCCACGCCGACTTGTGCGCGGTGTTAAAGCTGCACGGAGATAGAAACAGAGCGATGCATCGAGAGAGAGATTGAAATTCAAGCTGTGTACAAAGGTGGCAGGGATGCCCAGCTCAGATACAGGCCGTTAACGAGAAGATCGTTGCGCAGCGTAGATAGATGGACAAACGTACACATACGTCATCGGAAGGGGAAAGGGTTAAGGATCATCAGCACGGTGTAGCGTCGATGGGGGCGGTCTTACTCACACGAGGGCGCAGGCTCGTGCTGCCGCCGCGTTAAGCGCGGGAACGACGTAGATGACGAAGCGCAGCTCCTTGTGCGGCAGTGCCGAGTACGCCGAAACGAAGATGAGCGGCGACAGCAGCAGCATGGGAAGCACGCGCCGGTCGCACCACGCGCCCACCGCTACGAGCGGGGCGCTGCTTGCGAGGGCTCGTGGCAGAGCCGACACAAAGTACCAGGGCAGAGGTTGCGTCTGCGCGACGCGACGGGCGGGCGAGTCAGGGTCAAGGGTAAATACGTCGAGAAACGCAACGCTTTTCAAGTTTAAAAATAAACTCATTTTATTTAACTGGGTAATGCCCACTGAGCTATATGGTTCTTTTTCAAAAGCGCCCTGGCCAAAAATGAGACCCCAACAACAAGCGACGTATCACGTGGAAATGTATAGCGGCCAAATACTCTAAACGCATGTTTCTAAATGTGGAGGGAAAAACCGGAGGACTCGGAGAAAAATCTACGCGACCACGGGGAGAGAAAAATGCAAACTCCAAATATACAACAGGCATCAGTGTCGGGATCGATCCCACGACCTCCTGCATACCAGGCGAGGTAATCAACAAGATGCCACCGTGGCGCCCCTCGCCATCTCACCAACCGTTAAAGTTGAGAGGTCGACGCTGATCGCTTCCTTCCTTCTGCAAGATTCCACACTTGCCGTGTAAAGTTTTCACGGTCGTGTCGAATGGCTCACCAGTGGGGAGTTTGACACGTTGGGAGGCTTCTTCTCCCCCAAGGAAGTGGAGCAAAACGTCAGGACACTGTGGCGAACGACACGAGGTACAACCCAAAAAGGCAAGGCCATGAAAAACCTAAGCAGTCGTGGACCCTGGGCTGTTAGCCACCCCTCTAAAGCGTGGATTTCTCTGGCTAGTGTGGTTCAATCGCACATTCAAAACTTCATTCAATAAAATGAATTGGACGTACATCCCTATTAAGGATTCTCCTGAAAAAAATGAGAGGTTTAAAAAAAAAATATCACATCATTATTATTATTCATGTAAAGAGAATAATGATCAATTATCGAACACGAGGGACCAAAGGATACGCCCCACTGGGAGCTCTTGTTGAGGATGGCATTGAACCAAAACACTTCTCCTTCTGGCCACAATGGTCGGCGCCAAAACAAAGAGTCCACAGCCACAGTCAGCCCTGAAATGAAAAGATGAGGATCATCATTGCATTCCGTCGTGTATAAAATAGAAAATCCTCTAAAATTACATTTCCATTGTGGTCATCGGCGGCATTGTGCGATTCGTTTTAAAGAAATTATCATTCGGGACTCTCACAGTGGGTCGTCTAAGATCACATCGGGCCAGGGAATGGCCTTGAAAGATAAGATGTTTAAAATATTCTTGCAGTCACTTCATTGGCCCACTTATCCGATATTAGATGGTGAACCCTGATACACTGCGTGAATGTTTGTCGCATTGGAAGCTGAAATTATCATTGGATAAGCAACAGACTGAGGGAGGTGAAAATAATATTTGAATTTGATGGGTTTTATGGAGACCAAGGTGATGATGTCAACAAATACCACAACGGAGTCAATGCCAGTGATGGCATCGCCGACGATGAATGTGACGATGTTAACTTTGACCCCACAAAGAGTCGCACATACCGAGAAAAAAGAGCCCAGCGGGCACAGCGAGGCGTAGCGCGTCGGTCACGCTCAGCTGCCGTCTCCACAGCGACAGCAGCAGCATGGGCCCAACGAGCAGCGCGATCTCTACGCGGAAGACCAGCACGGCACACGCCGAACACCGCACGAACGTGGCGTGCCGGCTCCCCAGCCACGCAGCCATCGCCTCCAATACTGTCATTGCGCAGAGATAATCCCACAGGGAGACACGCGCAGGGAGACACGCGCAGGGAGACAAAAACAGGACAATGCACACACACACAGGTTTAAACAAACAGGGAGACACAAGCATAGAGACAAACGCAGAGATAAACCGAGAGGGAGACACACAGGGACACACACGCAGGGAAGCAAATGCAGGACAAACACACACACAGGTAGAAACAAACAGGGAGACACAAGTACTGAGAGCCAGACGCAGAGATAAACCCACAGGGAGACACAGGCAGCGAGAAAAACAGAGAGACAAGACACAGAATGACACATGCAGGGATAAACAAACAAGCAGACACAAGCAGAGAGACAGACGCAGAACCCAGAGAAAGACACAAGCAGAGAGACGTGGCAAGTGAGCCAGGGGAGAGACGTGTGGTTTGGTCATTGCGTCGTGGAGGTGGCAAGCCACGCAGCCACTGCTTCCAACACTGCCGTCAAGCAGAGACACGCTCGTGGGGAGACATCCGTGAAGCCTACACAGACAGTTGGGCAAGTGCTGTCAGCGACCACCTATGAGATCCGGCACGGCACACAACATCAGGAGGGCTCGTGTTAATAAACCGTACAAATACTTATTTAAAGCTCAGTCGGCCTAAGTGAGGCCCAGCTCCAGTTCAGACATTAATGCAATACAACTATTGGTAGGAACATTTTTTTAGGTGTTACAGCTGGGGTATTTCATTTCACCATCGAAACAACATCTACGGCTGAAGCAATGGTTTAATGCGCCGCTGCGAATTGTAATGTGCTCATTTATATCCGTAACCACGATTAATCAGTCACAGACACAGAGCGCGGCTGTCAAGGGGTTTCAAATGTTCACGGCGCGTGATGACCTCCATTGGGTGAACGTGGACAGCGCCCAGCGTGCACCGCGTGTCGCAACTTACCGTATTCTCGAAATTATAAGATGGAATTGTATCACTACATTTGAAAGCAAATGTTGGGGAGGGGGGGGGGGGTGTCTTTTAATGCAGAGAGTAGATTGTCTTCCGGAAGACATTTCTCTAAAGCAATACAATAGCACTCAAGAGGGCAGATGACCACAACCCATGATTCAGAATAGTCTTCCTGCACATCTCTCCTCATTTTTAATGAGCGCATTCAAAACCATTTTCAGGAAGACACCTCTACAGAATAAAACATTATCTTCTAGAAGACATGTTTTAGTCTCATTGTTTATACAAAAAAAATCCAGAAGAAATCATTTTAAAGCATCCATAATGATCTTCTAGCTCTCCAGAGTAATGCATTCTCTCGATTATGAAACACTTTTTTTCAAAACGATCCCATAGTTTGGTTTGCCTTTTACTTTCTGGTCCTTGTCATAATCCAGAGCCTTTGGTAGATGTAGTAAAGGCATAATACAGGTGTTCTGGGTAAGATCGCGTAAACATATAAATGTGTTGTTAAACCCGCCACCACCCGACACAGCCAATTCGTAAGGTTTGTCATGATGAAGCTGTCGCCTGATGAAGCTAGTTGTAATTACTGGCGAAACATCGTAATCAGATTGTAAATGTTGTGGCTTGGCTCTCCAACACACCGGTGTGCTGTACTCGTAACGAATTGGCACGTTCTGTTTACGTGACAAACCTTACTAGTTGGCTGTGTCGGGTGGTGGCGGGTTTAACGACACATTTATATATTTACGCGATATAACCCAAAAAACCTGTATTTTGGATGATATTGGTCGCGAAAGCCTTCGTGTTAAACGTTCTGAATGTAAAACACACTCCTGAGATATCACTAGATGGCGCTGTGGTGGCGTGTATGAATATGAGATTCAGTCACCATTAACAAAACTTCAATATCGTGTTGTGACAGCCCAAGACACAGCCCAGTTGTGTATTTACAAAATAACAGCTGTTTGACTTCGCACACATAGCACCTTTAGCGGAGAACCGCATCAAAGCGCCTCGTGGGATAATTCAAGACGAACAGGTGAGAGACAGAGGGAGCGGAGAGGAGATGAAGGGGCAAGATTAAAGAGTGAACAGGTCCTGACGTGCGCATGAATAGATGGGTGATAAAAAAGAGATCGGAGAGGTGCAGAGTGAGGTAGTGGAGAGAGTGGTTTGATGGAATAGAAAGAGAGCAGAAGAGAGCAGAAGGTGAACAGGCAGGATGGGATAGGAAGACAGTGTAATTACATATTCTTTGGGTCTTTCGGTAAAGCCACGTAGATAGAAAAAATAATACAAATAATAATATCACGACGTTTCGATTGCAACACAAGCAATCGTCATTAGGTGATTGCTTGTGTTGCGATCGAAACGTCGTGATATTGTTATTTTATTTTTATTTTTTCTATCTACGTGGCTTTACCGAAAGACCCAAAGAATATGAATTCCTGTAGTCACGAAAGCTTTAAGTCAAGTGTAAATACAATTTTAGGAAAACGGACAGACAGGAAAGAGAGTGACAGCTGAAGGGCTAGGTAGAGGAGAGATGCAGCAGAAGAGCAGATGAACTGGGAAGAGGGATACGTTGGGAAGAGAACGTTAAGGGGAGAGATGCAGAGACAGGGAGGACGTGGGAGGGGGGCGACTCACCGAGGGGCAGGGCCATGGAGTTGGGGAGGCTGCGCGAGCTGTAGAAGAGCAGGTGGAACTGGCTCGCCGTCACGAGCGCCGTGAACACAGACACGCGGTGTCCGAACGCCGCGCGCACAGCCCCAATGTAGCGGCAGAGCGCGAGCAGCACGCACACGCCCAGGCAGCCACGCACTGCACGCACGCACAAAGACGTACACGCGAGAGCAACGACGTTCGACACATAGTGGCGGTGACTTCACCGCGGCACTTGTGGCAAGTTAGGTGCACCTTGTGGTCACGTGAAATGTCACACACCGTAACACGTGCACCCGTGCCCAGGCAGTCGCGCAAATAAGCCATGCACGTACTAACATGAGTGCACATACACGCTAACAATGCACAAGAACACATTGAGCTTGCACACGACACCAAGTGCACTACTGAATGGTTGTGTATGTTAACACGTACGTCCGTCCGTCCACAATAATGGATGCACATGACCAGGCAGCCGCACACTGCTCCCCCACACGTACGTGCACAATCCGAGCACGAAGGGAAATATTACTTTGAATGAACACATATTTACATGCATGGGATTCAACATGACACGATTCACAACATTTGTAGAATGCAACTTACCGATGTACTGGGAGACGAACTTGCTAGCTCCAAGGGCATGGGAGAGGTGCACCCATGGGGCAGCCATCACAGCAATGACGAGGGGGCCCAGGAAAGATCGAGGAACGACGCCCGGGAACTCATGGTGATCGTACTGCACAGCAAAAATGAATCAACATCGCAATCATCATTCATCGTTAAAAGTATTCATTCACACTACCCAGAGAGCGCAACTCTTGGATATGCAAACCTGGATCAATACAAACAATGAAAAGATAAATAGTTCATTTAAATCACTGTTTAATATTCAGCTCGAAATTCGATCACAGCTTTCTACTTGAAAGATATATCCGCATCAGCCATATTGGTTGACATTGTGACGCCCCCGCGTGGCTATCAGTCATATTACAAGGCAAAAAGCCACCCAAAACAATTAAACTACAGTATTTAATACTGATAGGAACCTCCTGGTTACACCAGCCCACAGGGGATTATTGTGTCCGTCGTGCAGGGAGGGGCTGGGTGGGGAGGGAGGGGCTGGGTGGGGAGGGGCTGGGTGGGGAGGGGAGGGTGGGGAGGGGCTGGGTGTGGAGGGTGGGGAGGGGCTGGGTGGGGAGGGGCTGGGTGGGGAGGGTGGGGCTGGGTGGGGGGTGGGAGGGGTGGGGAGGGGCTGGTCACCCCGTGGTGCCCTTTAAAACTCAACGTTTAACCTACTCACGCCGGCTTGTGCCCGCCCTCACAGTCGGGCATATTTGCGGAATACACCTACGCCGCCGTTGACCCTGGCCATTGACCGAGCAACCCAACGTTCCTACCAGCTCCCTCCGCAGGAATGTGTAAACAAATTACAGTACAGTCTGTGTGTGGACAACAAAAGGCTCAAATGTAGCCACTGCATGGATCCTCCCATCGTGCCTAACATGTCACGTGACATCACCATACTGCGTGTATAATGCACACGGCCTGGTTTTAAGACCACAGAGTCAAACGTGTTCACTTTCCGAATTAGTTTCTCATAATTTACATATAAATGTTAGAATTGGTTGAATAACCATGTTTGCTTATAATGTGTAATTCCATACCTGTCAACCCACACGGTTTACCTGTATTTCTGTACAGAGAAATTTAGTTTTCAGGTTCATATGACGCACAGCCGTTTCAATACGGGCAAATAAAAAGTGGTTTGTGTTTCTCTCCTTGTGATGGGACTTTGAAGGAAGAAAGTTGAGATTTATAAGGGCACGGGGGTGACCAATAAGGCCTGAATTGGTCTGTAATAAGGTAGGCACTGATAAGCTGTTGACAGGTGTGTAATTCACAATAAGAGTTGCAGTGTGCAATTAATAATTTGCTCATCGATGTGTATCTGGGATCTGGGCAACTGAAATCATAGGTTGGAATCTGGGCTCAGCCACCTGGGATGAACCCAGGACCTGCTGGAATGGATCGTCAACAACAGGACACCATCGTGACCTTTACCAGAGGGGCTGCATCATCAACAACGCCATGATCAGCCATTCTCGATTCACTGCTGAATACATTACCAACGTCATCATCACTTTGTCACTACTGAATACGAGGATTTTTTTTATTTTACCGGGTAAGGCCCACTGAGCTATATAGCCCAATGAAGTGGCTTATCATGTGGAAATGTATAGCAGCCAAATACTCGAAACGTATGTTGATTTTAAATTAGGGGAAAAACACAAGCGACCACAGTCAGAGAGAACATGCAAACTCCAAATAAACAGGCGTCATGGTCGGGATTGAACCCACGAGCCTCCTGTAAACCAAGCAAGGTCCAAAACATCTCGCCACATTATCTTAATCGAAGGCAGCAGCACTACCACCACTCTTTAATCAGTCATCCTTGCTTCACTTATGAATACATGAGTGAAGCAATAATGTTACAGGCTGTACCCCTGCATAGCTTTAACACTGTTGGGAAAAGTGCTGTTAGCGAGCACCTATTAAGGCCAGAACGGTACACTAGGGAGTGGGTGACTCATTTGAGGCTGAGTCAACCTAGGGGAGGTTCAGAACAGGTTCAGATAATCATCACTGGTGTTGGCCGTGGCCGCGAATCGAACTCGGGTCGCCCAGGTTTGTAGCGCAGCTCTGCTAACCGCGACACAACCGCTCCCCACACAACACCACCACCACCATCATCATCATCACAACACGGGGCTCATTTATAATACAGATTTTTTGTTTGGGATTAGGTAGCGTAAATAAATGTGTCGTTAAACACACCACAACCAATTAGAAAGGTTTGCCACGTAAATAGAACATGCCAATTCGTTACTAGTACAGCACACCGGTGTGTTGGAGAGCAAAACCACAACATTTACAATCTGAGTACGACGCTTCGCCAGCAATTAAAACTAGCTTCATCAGGCAACAGCCAGATTTGTGTTTGCGATCTAACCCCCCCCCCCCCCCCAAGAAAAACACTTGATTCATACTCTTAGTTTTTTTCGGTAAAGTCACGTAGGTAAAAAGAAATAATAAAATAATATTAAATTTGTAATAAATCACGACGTTTCGGAGGCAACACAAGTTTCCGTCATCAGGTGGCACCGTCACAGCTACATTTACTGTATCAAGTGACTTGATTCTTTTATTAATATAATTTTATTATTTATTTTTACCCACGTGACTTTACCGAAAAAACCTAAGAGTATGAATCCTTTCAGTCACGAAAGCTTCAAATCTAGAATTAAACTCTTGTATTATATATGACATTGGTCGCGAAAGCCGACGTGTTAAACGGGTCTCATCCGCACAATCATCACCATAATCTAAATCATTACCATCATAATTATAATTATTGTAACAATCATCATTGTAATCTGCATCACAAAAATAATTATCTTTAATACACTTGAAAATAATGGACTTATCATTATCACCACCACCTTCAGAAACATCACCATAAATAACATCATTATCAGCCCCATCACCATCACCATAAATAACATCATTATCAGCCCCATCACCATAAATAACATCATTATCAGCCCCATCATCATCATAAATAATATTATCAGCCTCCATCAATCATTATCAGCCCCATCACCATCACCATAAATAACATCATTATCAGCCCCATCACCATAAATAACATCATTATCAGCCCCATCATCATCATAAATAATATTATCAGCCCCATCATCACCATAAATAACATCATTATCAGCCCCATCATCACCATAAATAACATCATTACCAGCCCCATCATCATCACCATAGATTCACAAACCCGACCGAAAAGTGATTTTATCACCACCAACACCATCAACATCACCACCACCAACACCATCAACATCACCACTACCATCACCATGACCACCACGCACCTGCTGCAGGTCGGAGCCGTGGTACAGGAGGTCGTGCGTGGCCTGCAGGTTGAAACTCTCCTCCACTTTGGTGAAGGGGCACGCGGCGAGGTGAACGCAGCAGACGGCGCCCAACATCAACAACGCCAGCGCATGCAGGGAGACCCCCACCATGATGCCGATCTGTTGGACATTGACACCGCCAATTCAACAACATTCATGTGCGTGTGTACAATTAAGCGGTGGGGGAGGGAGGGGGAACGTATTGTGTCGAAGCGACACACGAATGCATCGTCTTACGTGGCCCGGCCCGGCACGTGGGTTGAACAACGGCGAATGTAGTGGCACTGAAGTCGCACTGAGTTGTTGCCGTGGTGTTGACGGTCCACGGGAAGTTGAACTGAACGCTAAGTGACCATCTTACGTGGGGAAGTATCAACACGCGCCTCCTAGCTCCCTCCCCCCACCGATTGTCATCAACCCGCGACGTTCAATGACTTCCAGTGAGGCGACGGCCCTTACAAAGAGGGCCGCCGAAGAAGCAGATTCAATTTTTTTTTGAGCGACAGGATGGAAGTTGCAATGCTAAAAAGTGTTGTCGTTAACCCTCCCACCGCCCGACCCGATCGTCAAAGTGTACGACGATCTATCGACGACTTATCGACGAACTATCGACGATCTATCGACGACATATCGACGGTCTCTCTTTGTTTTATTTCACTCCGTACCGCGGTAGCGTTGCAAGTTTGCGGCCCGCGACGACGACGCTTCCGCCCGTTGAGAGTAGCCACGTGACGCAGCGATGCCCTCTCGACCAATCGAGTTCGAGAGCGTGGTGGTAGGGAGGAGAGTGGGGGGGGGTACCCGTTGCCACGGTAACGGGTCCAGCTAAAATGTTGCCTAGCAACGGGAGGATTCTGGCTCTTTTTGAGGATTAAAAGCAAAACCGGATCGGTTTCCAGTCAGGATCAGAATAATTATTTATACTTGAGGAATCCGATGAGCTGTAAAGCTCTTTTTCACAGATGTCCAGTAGGGGCGGGTCAGACCATTGCAAAAATAAACAATACTAAAACACGATATGAGTGCAAAGTATAGGAAAGGGAAGAAAATCACTTAAAACTACATATACAAATAATGCTAAATGTATTTATCTCATCAGGTGAAGACCACCGAGGTATTAACTTATTTTTCAGAAGCGACCGGGCCACAAATGATAGCTCAACAAAGTTGCGTATAGCGTATAAATTTAAAGCAGCAACATAATCCCAATAATCTCAATGCATTCGTCAAACTTAACGTGGTGTTCACTCATAGTCAAATGAAGGAGAACGCCGTCTTCGCGGCGATGTGGGGGAAAAAATGGATACTAGGACAAATGATGTAACGCCCATTACCCAAAAATACCTCGTAGGATGAATTTGCAGTGAGACTCCTCTTACCCGCTAAAAGTTCGCGGATGTTAGGATGCAGTTTCACTTTGCATTATGGGTAAAATAGCGGGTAATCGCGGATTATAGGAAGCAAATGTGCTGCGGATAACAGGAGTTTTCGTGGAACGTCATTGTCACTATCATCTGCATCACCATCCGCACAATTATCACCATAATCTGAATCATTACCAATCATTATCTTTAAGCCACTTCAAAATAATGGACTTATCATTATCACCACCACCTTCAGAAACATCACCATAAATAACATAATTATCAGCCCTATTATTATCATAATCACCATAAATAACATCATTATCAGCCCCATCATCATCATCACCATACATTCATGAACCCGACCGAAAAGTGATTTTATCACCACCAACACCATCAACATCACCACTACCACCACCACCAATGTCATCACTTCCACCACCATGATTCTTTATAATGTGTTATTTTAATGCGCTGCTGAATAATACCAACAACAAAAAATCTAAGCCAACGGCATTATCACCGTGATTCTTGACTCTTTTCTTAATAGAGACATTATCATTCATTATCATCGGCCATTCTTGATTCACCATTGCTTAGAAACACCATCAATAACATCCCACCATTAACACCACCATCACAGTCATTCTCAATGCACTTCTGAATAAAGGTCCACGAGACACCGTCGGTGAACATTTCCCGTAGTTTACACTGGTTTATAAAATACACGAAGCCGTAATTGTTTTTCTACTGACCACTGGCACCACCACCTCGGTGTCATTACAGGAGCAAGTCATGTCACTTTGTCATCGATCCCCCCCCCCCCCCCAAAAAAAAATCGAAATTTAACTCAATCTGTTGGGGTCAAGTATAGGCGAGGTGACCCAGTCGTTCAATGCCTGCATTTCAACATTTAAAACCAAAACTGCTCCGATGGGATGTGTGGACAGGCCCAATAAGCAGTAACAATGTTTTCTAGTATCAGTGTTGGGAGGGATACTTTAGAAAAAAATAATTAGTGGGTGATTACTGTTTACACGATGTTTTAGAATGAGTGTAACATAGTAATGTAATTTGTACTGACGAAGGTGTGTAATACTGGATAGTAATCATAAACAGTAATAACATGGCAAATGATGAGTAACGATTGTTGGTCACACGCTGCAAATGGACTAATAATATGGAATAACTGGTGCCTTATCTTTGGTTATCTAATTACAGTAAGGCATTTCTTGTTACTCATTACTCCACAACAATATAATATCGTGCAAAATATAAGTCCAAGGACAAAATGTCAAGAGATGCTAATGATGCTACCACACCTCACTATGCATTCCTTCTGCCAAATTATAGACATTTTCCTCTTGTTACTCATCATGACCACCATCTGGGTTTAGGTCCTCCCCTTGGTTACTGAACGTGGCTGCCAACTCGAATGCCTGCCGTGGTAACCTTGGCCTCCTCCATCATTCACACGTGCCCCACCCATCACAACCTCCTCTCCTTGATTAAATCTGCCTGGAAATGGCACTAGAGTCATGGATTCTTGAACCTACCTGTGCAGTGCTCTGAGTGTAAACCCATCATTGTGTGGGTTTTCTCCAGGTGCCTTGACATACCAAAAAACTCTTTATTGGATCTGAATAAATATTCTCATATGGTTCCTTCCAGAACCCCCCCCCCCCATTTGGATTGATTGAGGCTTTCCTCGATTAATATAACCCTCTATATTTGGGTTTTCCTCTCGGTTGCTGACCGATGTGTGCGACTCCAATGCCGGTCCTGTCCTCCTCCATCCTGAACAGATGTCCCACCCATTGCGACCTCCACGCACTGATTATATCGACAACGCCTTCTTGCTAGGTTCTATTCCCAATTTTCAAGGTGCTTAACCTGGTGTGCATTGAAATTCCTATGTCTTCTCAAACAATTAAATCCCCAATAGTTGCCGAATTTTATTAAATTGAGATGGCAGATGCTAGAAACAATGCTTTCGTATAAATTATGATACTTGAGAGGACAATGAGCAGTTTTAAGAGCCTTTAGCAAACATAAAATGCTCTTAAAAAATTCATACAAAGCTGAGAGCTTTACTGATTAGTAAAATAAAATAAAAACTTGTCTTAATAGCACAGCCATTGATTCAGTCAACGGGTAGTGTTTTGTATGTGACATTTATGAGAATGGCTGAAAAGTTAATTTGCTGGCCAATCTGCTCTATTTTTAAAACCTATTAGTGCTCTATTGTAGATCCATAAGAGCGAGTTACTTTCTCGGTGCTTTTCAATAACGCGAGTTACATCATTTTTCCAAGTAAAGTGCACTGTCATGCCAACTTGGCCCATTACAGATATTTAATTAAGCGTGCTTCCTTCATAGCTGAGTACGTACGCCTTTGGAGGACAAGTATTTAATTGTCCGCAAAATTATATGTGCAGGTGTGTGTGTGTGTGTGAATGGCCAGGTGGCACTGTCATTGAAAGCGCATGGAAATTGGAAGGTTAGCAGTTAAAATCTCAGTTGGTGGTTGACTTAGCCTATCGGTTAAATTAGTCAATAAAATAAGTACCACTTTGTGGGTAGTCAACAGTAGATGTAAATTGTATAAACTGGTTCTTTCCATTGGAACATGGAATTTCCACCACTCCCTGGGCCACCAACAGAGATGACCACCTCCCTCAACAGTTTGAGCAAGGACATCGATGTATGTGTGTGCATGCAAGTGTTTGTGTGTGTGTGTCTGTGCAAGTGTTTGTGTGTGTGTGCAAGTGTTTGTGTGTGTGTGTGTGCACGCAAGTGTTTGTGTGTGTGTGTGTGTGCATGCAAGTGTTTGTGTGTGTGTGCATGCAAGTGTTTGTGTGTGTGTGTGTGCACGCAAGTGTTTGTGTGTGTGTGTGTGCACGCAAGTGTTTGTGTGTGTGTGTGTGCATGCAAGTGTTTGTGTGTGTGTGCATGCAAGTGTTTGTGTGTGTGTGTGTGTGCATGCAAGTGTTTGTGTGTGTGTGTGCATGCAAGTGTTTGTGTGTGTGTGTGTGCATGCAAGTGTTTGTGTGTGTGTGCACGCAAGTGTTTGTGTGTGTGCATGCAAGTGTTTGTGTGTGTGCATGTTAGCGCCGGTGTGTGGGTGTAGGTTTCTGTACATGTCTGCATGTGGCCAAGCCAAGAGCCAAACGTTTCCCACTGTCCAAATGAGCACGGGACAGGAATCATTTTCATTGGCAGCCCTATTTCCAGTCCATCTGAGTTGGCCAGTTGGCTCGGAGGTCAAAGCCCTGGGATGGCAACACTGCACCTGGATTCGAATCCAAACAGTTTCCTGTGATTAAACCGGCTTCTCAAGTGGAGTGAATAAATGGTCGTAGCCCGTGATCATTGACAGTCTAAAAACAACGTTACATTACATTCGGTTCTGCACGTTATTTAACTAAATTTCAGCTCTGAGAATAAATTATATGTTTGACTACCACGTGACACTCTCATATGCAGAGTGGGTGGGAAGTACTGCTGTCGACTGTGTGTGGACTAGAGGTCACTTGAGGGGATTTCAGAGGTAGTTCTGTCATATCCACTTCCATGGACTGTATTCTGATACGGTGGCTTGTACTACTCTGCCAAAAATACGAATGGATACCTCATTTCATTGTATGCTTAGACTCTGGATTTTTATTTTAAATGCCCCTTTTATCAACCCAAGAAAAATTATGGGCTGCGTTGTCTAATTTTTATACAAAAACAACACTGTCCTCTATATTCCCGAAGGACCATACTGACGTAGGTCAATACCATGGCAGAAAAAAAAGGGCAGAGCCCACTCGAACTCCACCGCCCACATATGTGCGTGCATCGTTACAACGAGCACACTCGCACAGCAAAGATCCCCCGTGTAGCCTCGACAGACTGACGGAGAAAGTGCTGTTCACGAGCACCTATGAAGGCCGGCAAGGCACACGAGGGGGGGGGGGGGTGGCCAGCACCACGCCAGGCCACCTTTGTCTCCCTAGTGCTGATGTTTAAACACTGCACCAGGTACCCATTTGAGGTTGAGTTGACCTAGGGGAGGCCCAGAACAGGTCCAGATAATCGTAACTGGTGTTCACCGTGATCGGGAATCGAACACGTGTGGCCGAGTTCATAGCATAGCACGTTAACTGCTGCACCACCGCTCCCCACAACACCAGGACAAGAGAAAATATAGGAAAGACAGCCTACTCAAACACGACCACCCACATGTGTACGTGCCTCTTGACACGAGCACACTCGGCCACATGCATATCCACACACACACACACATA